AATAATCGACATACTAAACTCTTCTTAACTGACAAATTTAAACTTGGGGGTGCATGAAAAAAAATAATCGACATACTAAACTCTTCTTAACTGACAAATTTAAACTTGGGCTGTCTTATAACAATTGGGGAATCTCTTACTATTTATATATAACTTAAATACCTTTTATATATTAAATGTTGTTAAAGCTTACCAACAACTTGTATCTACCACTTAATCTAACAAGTTACAGAAAATTTTATCTGGAATACTTTATTTTATTACTGTCTTCTTTAGGACATGTAACTATTAATGTTTTCTGAATTCGGTAAAAACTAACTTCCATTGTTGCGTATGTATATGTATATGTATATGTATATATATATATATGTATATATGTATATATGTATATATATATTTAACTGCCTCCAGTTCTTTCGAATCAGGGCTCTTTACTTAGGCAGAATGTTTAACTACTTCTTTAAACTTTATTTTAATTCATACTAAACGTTGTTTTTTTATTTTAAGGTGGTGATAACTTAATACTTTTAATTGAAACGTTTCGGCAATCGTCGTTTGACACCCATGCCAACAATAAAGTATTGTCCCTGTGCCTTTTAGATTTGAAATTTGGATCATTAAGGCCATTGTAGCGTTAGTGATTTGGTAGGGGGGGGGGAAGAGAAGGTAATATTTGACATTTTATAGCAAAATCAACGTGATTTGTTTCTTGTACTTCCCGTTCGTAATTGAACATGATAAATCTATACGTGTTATTGAAGAGCATCTGTATAATGGCGAATAGTGAATAAAGACGGATATCCGATGGAGATAATTGAGGTATTAAATAAACCCCTAGTTCACAAACTGAGCTACTGAGAGAACTTTGTACGTAATATAGACAACTTTTCTTTTTTGTCTAGGAATCTGTATGTTAATGATCGGTGTATTTTGTGACAAAAACAATGTATGTGATGTGTCAAATAAATAAAACTCAAACTACTAGTGGTTTGTATTGAAATCTTTCTTGTTAGAATAACTTGTTAATTTACTGTTTTTATAAGAAATCTGGACACTCATTCCTTGCCCTGCAACCCCCTCTCCAAAAACAAAAAAAAATCACTGCTGGTTGAGAGAATCTGTTAACAAGAAAGTAAATAGATAACGCTGGTGTATAAACCTGCCATCTATCGGTGATTCAGATTACTATGGTTATATCGAGTAGCATTTACAGCCACACCTTGCTCTTATCTTGCGTACTAGTTCTAAGTAATTCTTCATTATACTACTGAATGTCGCATTCGAGCCATTGAATAATTATCATTATGGTCACCCAGTGAGATAGCGATAAGTCTGCAAACTTAGTACTAAAATTCTGGGTTCGATTCCCCGATGTGGATGCAATACACAGCCCAATGTCGCTTTGCTTAAAGAAAAAAACTTGTTATTACTCGTATACTAGACTACTCCTTTACAGTCTCTGGATCTGCTCATGGATTTCACCCAATTTATACATCATGTAAAAAGAAAATCCCTTTACTGAACAAAACATTTTTTTAAATATAGCCTTGAACACTGTAAACATTCCACCAATATTACCCTTAAATTCAACGTGTTTAATTGTGAAACTACATAATGTAAGTGGAACAACTAATGCGTCGATTAAAACCATCGTCAGTAATATGTATGAAGAGCAAAAATTGTAGGTTATCGTATTTTCCCCAAACTCGAATTTTAATGTCATAAGCCAGCAATGTAACCACCTAGCCGTCAGCACACATAGCCCACGTGTAAGCTACACAATAGGCCATCTCTTTTCTGTCTACAGCTTATTAGTGTTTGACGCACACATAGCCCACGTGAAGGCTACACAATAGGCCACCTCTTTTCTGTCTACAGCTTAGTGCGTCAAACACTAAAGCTGTAGACAGAAAAGAGATGGCCTATTGTGTAGCCTACACGTGGGCTATGTGGGCGTCAAACACTAATAAAGAGCTATGATTTTAATGTTATGACCTTTCGGACTTAAATAACAGGAACATTTCTGAATAGTTGGACAGTGGTAAGTTTACGGACTTGCAACGCTAGAAATCCGGGGTTCGATTCCTTGCAGTGGACACGGTGGAAGATGTAATGTGGCTTTGCTCTAAAATAAACAAACGCACAAACTGAATAGTTCAACGAAGTATTCAGATTCTACTAAAGGCAGCATGAATTTTAGAACTGTTTTCATAAATTAAGTTATTATTATTATTATTATTATTATTATTATTATTATTATTATTATTAATAATAAATAAAAAAAAAACTGGAAACAAACAAATTAACAAGTTTTTTATTAGATAAGCATATTATTAGGAAAGATTATACATTTAGTTTGGTGTTGGTAATGATCTCAATGGAACTTTGGTATCTTCTTTCCCATGTTTTAAAAAGTAGTAAAAAAGCAACTGAAATATTAACTAATTCTATGTGTTTTAAAAAGACTTAATATGAATAAAAAAATCCTCCCCATCATAAAAATTAATTTGTTACTTGAAGCGAACGAAAGGGGAAAAAATATCAAAGTTTAGTGAGTTGGAATGGATAAAGAAAGCTTTATTACAAGTTTAACACGGTAACAAATGTATGCCGTTTCGGAAATATTTCTTATCAGGTTCCTTGTTCTCAAATTTAAGAGAGAAACGTATGCACTTTTTCATGTCGTTCAAAGCATCTCTTGTGAAAATATAATTCATTCAAGAAGTCTACCATTAGCTTCAGTGTTAACAAACGATGGGAGGTTTTTGTAAGGATAGCCTGGATTATTTCAGTTTTTTGTTGAACAGACCTGAAGATGAGTAAGATATGACAGTTTTCATAAGTACTGTTTGTGGAACCACCGATGACTCGGTTGTAAGCTTAAGGGCTTATATCCAAGAAATACGTGGCTCGATCTTCGCGATTGGCATAATGTAGATAGGCAGTTGTACATCTTTTCGCTTAAACAAAACGGAAACAAAAGTTGGAGAAGCTGAGATAGAATTTTATAAATTGAATGATCTTATCTTAGAATCTTGCACACGATATCGGAAAACGAAAGGTTTTCATGTATTGTAGAACCAAGTACCAGTAAGAAATCACTGAAAAATTACATTTTGCTCTTTAAATAAGAAATATTTATAAAGATGATGATAAAATGTTAGTTCATGTTGTATACTCGGTTTTATTAAAATACCTATACTAACAAAACAACAAACAAAAAAAAATCTCTCAAATACCAGATTTAAGTTGACTTCTTTTCTTTTTTTTGTTAAACGAAAAATTGATTAATTAGTAAATCCACACCTATAAAACATGATTTAAAATAAATCCCAAAATATAAGGTACGAATAATGTTCATATAACAAAAAAATAACTAAAAAAAACTGAAGATGTATTAACAACTGGTAAGAAATCAAAGAGGTTTGAATAATGGAATTATAATACTTTTCTAGCGATAGTCGTACGTAATGAAAAAAACAAGGCATGTATACAATTATCCTAAACTATTGACTATGTTAATATTTCGAGGACCACCAGTGGTTTCATTTACGAAAAGTTTCTGTTTTCAGCAACTATTCTTGTGGAGTTCCAAATACAATGGATGTCTTGCACATAAAAAATAGTATTGGTGTGCTGTACCTAGAGTTTCGACAGAAAAATATATTACGAAGTTAAATTGTGGAAAGAATCTGGACAACAGATTTGGCTAACAGACAAAACTACTGTCGACAAACAAAAGGAAAGCAATTCAATCAAGAAATGTATTTGTATAACAAAGGGCGACCACATTTCTCTTAAGTCATGAAAGTTCAAAGCCAGGCAAGAATTTTGATAAAAGTATCATCCCATCTGATTAGACTGAGAAAATCACCCACTATACATTTATTCAAATACAGTTCCAAAGTGAATTTGTAACTTGGTCATCTCGTTAATAAAAATAATGAAGACGGAGCCTTCGTGGTTTGTCTAAACCACTATACAACTGGTCATACTAGAAAACACGTTAGTACAAGTCTAAAGGATTCTCAAACGTCACAAGCTGTGGGAAGGCTCAGATATGCAAAACGGGAATTGGCTCTTTACAGTGAATTTCTTAACACCGGAATAAAGTCAACGTATTCTAAAGCCGCTTAGCAGAAAATTATACACTAAAAGAGAAAGAAACGCCTGATAAATTTCACAAACTACATTTCTACGGTTGATACGAAGGTTCAAAATTAATTTATTTAGAAACCTGTGTAAAAGTACTACTATGAATAAATAACATGTAGGGGGAAATAAAATTGTAATTTATGTAGTTAACATTTGGTTCATATATTCATTTATTTACAGCTAAATTTAGTTATTCAATTACACAAGATCAAAAAGAAACATTAAGCATGTTTATATTACTAAATAAATCTATTTTATCACTAATAATTATGTACATAAACTTTTAATCTATGATTAATTTTAGTGGCAGATATAAATTAGTGTGCCTTATATGCGATGTGGAAGACCTGTATATAGTTTAGAATGAAAAGGTTGCGCTGTTAAGAACAGATTTTAGAAGAATCGATTTATGTTAGTTCTAGGCAGAACTACCTCTTTATTATAAAATTTTAGGATGTTTTACTTTGTGGTATGGAGCGAGTTTTTAGTGTCAAATCGATCGAGTGCTTGTTCGACAGGCACATGGGCGTGAAAAGCTATCCTCGGTATGGATTTCAATAATTACAAACTACGAATGTATTGATATCTATGCTACAGATATGTAAGACAGGAAGTACGTTGGTTGATATTTATACCTTCCTTGGTATATTTTAATTATTTTTCGCTCAGTTTTTCAAATTAAATGTAGAATTTCCACATAGGGTGGAAATGGTAGTATAAAATATATTACAGTACATTGTTGCCCGATGAAGGCTCCCGTAAGAGGGTCGAAAGCTCGCAAATAAAAGCATTGTAAAGAAAAGTCCGTGTATAATTCTAAACATTTTATATAAAATATTTATCATAATCACGTTGTTCCAAAACGTTATGTTATGTTAATTAACACAATAACTCTTTTAATTATGAATTCGGAAACATATACTTATGTAATTCGTTATCTCGATTTCAAAAATCAAACTTGCATTATAATTATTGTGTATCACTGTTTAATGCTAACACTTTAAAACGCAGTTAATTAAAATAAACATTTCATTAAAATAGAAGTTATTTTTTTACATTGTACTTTATTTAAAGCAGTTACTTATTATGTACATTGTTTGATCATACTTTTCTGAATGATGCTCAACAAGTTTACCTGCGCTTTGCTTCTTCCAAACTGATTTTGTTACTCTAACGAAAATTTTTCTTATTACGAATTTTAAGCAATAATTCTTTTATGGAAGAATCGATTACTATCAGTAACACATAAATTGTTTAGATTGCTATGGTTTTAGGTTTTAAAAGAGAGAGAGTTATGGAGATATAATCTTTTAAAGTGTCGTACAAAAACTATAATTTGATGATACACAAAAGAATTACTATTTGAATATCAGTTTTATTTTCCTAACAGGGTGGTTGGCCTTTGGGATGGGTTGCCTTCGGATGTTGTGGAAGCAATAAATTTAAGTGATAAGAGCTAGCTTTAATTTTTTTAAATTTATTTATTAGTTTAGTTTATAAGATAGAACAGCAAAGATGGACTAATAGGTCGGACTAAAGTCAAATTGATTCTTGGCTTACAAAATTACAAGCCTTAAGTCAAATTGAAAAAAAAAGAAAAGAACAAACTAGCATCTGGTAGCAAAGTTTAGTCCTAGTTTCTCTGTGCTTCCCACTAAAAATACTGTTATCAATATATTTAATGAGAAAGTCCCCGACTATATAAACCATTTGGTTACATTGTCACTGTAAGCACTGAGCAGTGAAGGGTTCAAATCTATTAAAGACTAGAACCCGAATGACAACTGAACTTTCCTCTATAGTCCTAGCTGTTTTACTAAACAGCCTTGAAAACAGAGCAGTTGTTACTTTGTGTTTGATGGTGTGGCATACATTTATGAACATTTACCAAAATTCTATATGTTTATTACTATGTAAGATACTGGGGTAAGTTAAGGTTTGGGTACAACCTATTAACAATCAACTGTTAAACTATTAATTAGTATAACAACAATTTTATTTAACTGTCTAAAGTTTAAACTGTTGTTTTCAAACTCACCTTCAGTGGCGCATTTGGAATATTCATTTTGCTGACGGCGAATAAGATGATAAACAGGACAAGAATTCCACTAAAACGTCCAAGTTTGACTTAAGGTTTCAATGTCAGTACAAATACTAAAAAAAAAAAAGAAAAGTAAAAAAATGATATTGGAACACTGTATAAATCATTAAAATTTAACGATAATCTTTGGATTACGGTTACGTCATTATTATACTCGTAGTGATTATTTACTAGAACCAACACTACTTGTATTAGTAGTAGGCCTACTTGGCACTGTAAATTATAATACTAGTATACTACTATAAACCTAGTGCTAATAATGTCTCAGACCAGTTAGTTCTATACACAGTTGATCGAGCAGTCTAATGAATCATTTAAAACTTAACAATTACCACATTCACTGGCTATGCCAGAATATGTAATATATCCTCTCACACCATTCACACATTATATATCCTTAAATACTAAATATCTATTTCAAAATTCCTTACTAATACTACAACTATACTGAAAATCAATGAGATATTGTATGTGGTTATAAGTTTTTAATTCAGTTACAATTACCAAACGCTCACTTTGTTCTCCTATCAAGCATCTCAACATTATTATTTTATATGTAATTTGAATAAATTTTGATGACACTCACTTCGACTTTTTGAGTTTGAGGGCGTAGCATACATTTCTGAAACATGAAATTTAACTAATTTATCAACTGGTCAACATTTCATTACTAATTTAGACACAAAGGGAAGTTAGATTGTTTAAGATATTCATGCTAAGCTATTTAAAGGTTATCTCTGCTAAGTTATCTCTAATTATTAACTTTAAAGAGTAGAGAGAAGGCAGATGATCAACAGTATTTACCACTAGCTCTTGTCTGATCAAATAATGACCTTATAATACACCTGTAGCAAAATATCAGGCTAGGTAACTTTTTAAGCTGACTGAATAATTGACTTTTTTTTACTTACATTAATACAATACTAGTAGCTAGCAAGATGTTTGAGGAGTAGCCAACTTTGTTGCCCACCAGCTCCTAATGTCAAGAGAACCCTGATATTTACAATTTCACACTTACCTTTGCATCATATGGTATCAAACTAGAATAATAAATAAATTCCTGACATTTGGACTATTGACTATCAGGTATTTCAAATTGAGTCAATTGTTAACAGTTGTTAGTGTTAGTTCAAATATTATTTATTATTATTGTTAGGATAGGTACTCCTTACAAAATTACAACTCAGATTTGAGCTACTGTTGCGGACACAATGACGATACTGTGTTAGTGTGACTATTCATTATTAATATCATACCTACAATGTATTGAAATAATACTAAGCCTATAGGCTACAGAAAACTCAATACTAATACTAGTAATAATGAGTATTAGTAATTTCACAAAATTTTAAAGGGACAAAAAGGAGCTTATTAGACCATCAAGGATGTCTCTTCCAGCTCCCAATTATAACTTAAGTTAAACTGAGTATAACCACCCCTTACTACTCATGTATTCATCCAATCTTTTCTTGAACTCAGTTAAATTTTCTGCTTCCTAATACAACTGTTAGTATTACTATTACTAACAGATAGTATTGTAAATAGTACTATATTACATAATTGTTAGTAATAGTACTCTTTTAGTAGTGCAAAAATCACAATCTCTTAACTTTCTAAGTTCAAACATTTACATTGGTTAAACTCGACAGGCGTGATTTTACTTTATCCAATTAGGCCTACCAATGTTACTACCAATTATAAATCCTACAACAACTCATAAAGACAAAAATATATTATTTCACTGTTTGGCTTTAGTTTACCGATGCAGCAGTTACTTCGAAGGTTTAACTGAGTGAAACTTTGAAAGATTGAGTTGCACAAGAAATTTTATCTTTTCGTTTTGAAGTTTCAAAAAAATATGTTGATTTAATAATTTACTGTACAATTCAATAGGTTACAGTTCTCTCCTCGTAAATCTAACAGTAACAGATATATCAATAGTTATTTAGGTTATAACGTTAGTCAGACACATTTTGCGATTACCCTAAACATCGACATCATATCTCAGAATATAAATGTGGATTACAACCTTTGAACTCAAATCATATGATTACTGTTTATAGAGGGCGATAAGAACATAAACTCAAAACCATAATAGATAAAGTTATATTAAAAATTATAATCACTGTTTACTGCACTAAGTTAGATAAAAACGTGAGATTTTGTTATATTTAAGACACAAATAATGAAGAGTTAAGGGGGAGCTGATCGAGATGTTTAACGTTGTAAATGGAATTGATAGTGTTAATGCATAACTTTTTTTTCGTACTTAAAAGTGAGAATAGTAGAGAAAAGGGAAACAAATATAAATTTTGGAAGGGTAGGAGTCATCTTCAGCTACAGGGCTGGTAATTTGTAAGCCAAGAATTAATTTGACTTTAGTTGGCTGGTAATTTGTAAGCCAAGAATCAATTTGACTTTAGTTGGCTGGTAATTTGTAAGCCAAGAATTAATTTGACTTTAGTTGGCTGGTAATTTGTAAGCCAAGAATTAATTTGACTTTAGTTGGCTGGTAATTTGTAAGCCAAGAAT